GGGAGGCATCTCCCCCCAGCTGGCACCTTCTCCATCCCTCCCTGCTCAGTCAAGGAAAGCAGATCGCCCTCCAAACTGGGGCAGCCTGCAGAGCCGCTGCTCCCTCCTTCCAAGATAATGCTGGCACGGAGCCACCCTGGCTCCTGCCGCTGCGGTGAATGAAGCGTTTCCTCATCCAAGCAGGAGAGCTGCCAAAACCTGGCTCGGAAGCCGCGCTTTCCAGCGGCCAGGCCCCAGCGCTGCCAGCACACGGGGTGACCGGGGCAGCAGCCTTGCTCTGCCCAGCAGTGCCGGCATCCCCCTGCTCCCCGCGGGCCGGTGCTCCCCCAAAGGCCGTGCTGTGGCTGGGAAGGTGCCCTGGGCGAGGCGAGGCGCGGTGCGTGGGGCGGGCGCTGCCGAAACCCGGCTGAGTCAGCCCCGCTGCCGCGGGCAGCACCGCAGCATCCCCGGCAGCGCCTCGGCTCTTCACAGACACAGAGCTCGGGTTTGGGGCTGCTGAAATGGCTCTCGAGGCATTAAAGAGTCTTTTTTTTTACCCAGCCCGGTTTTTAAGGTTGTTCATTTTCTTTTATCTAATACATTCTCTCTCTGACCCACTGAGATCTGTCCAGCAGGTGGGATTGAGGCACACTGACTGCCCTTGGAGCAGTGTTAGTGTTTTATACTAGAAACCACGTGTACTTTATTAACAATAATTTTCTAATACCTATTATTTATGTTAGACAGTCTGTCTCTACCTTAAACCAATCTAGAAGTGTCACCATCACAGCAGAAGATGAAGGACGAGGAGAAAAAGAAGAAGAAGAAGAAGAAGAAGAAGAAAGACAGGACACGCCCAGATTCCTTCATCTTGCCTCTTGAACCCCCATTCTAAATCCCCAAAATTCTACTTTTTCACTTTGTGATAAATTCGCTATCATTCTACTCAAACTTTTGTGGTTTGTAAATCCTCACACAAAGCTGGTAATTTTTTTCCAAGGGTTAAAATCAAAGGCATGGGTGTCTTTGACTCTGTGCCAAGATCTCTGAGCCTTTTGCCAGGGTCTTGAGCCCTCCAAGGCAGCCAGAGAAATGTCCAAGGTTCCAACACACACAGAGACAGCCAGGTGGAAGGAAAGCCGGAGCTGGAAGCAGCCTGTGTCCGAGGAGAGAGTTTTGTGCTTCTCTGGGGGCTTTCAAGACACAGTCCTCAGAGATCCTCACAATCCTGCCTCAAAGACCTCATGGGATGCTTGACGTCCACTGGCTAATCCAAGAGGCAGGAGGCTGGAAAAGGCTGCACAGGAGATACTCTCCCTTGCTGTGGTCTTGCCTGGGTTGGATGTTCTGTGAGCCCAGGGCTCCTGGTGGCCCGGCAGTGCCCACCCCTGGGTGCTGCTCCCTGTCCCCCCTCGGGGCGTTTCAGGGAACTGATGTCACACCAGGGTGTGTCCCACAGAGGTCTGGGCAGTGCTTTGACACTCAGACTCTTCCCCATCTCGCCCAAAACGCATCTTGAGAGCAGCGTGAGGGCTCACCAGCCAAGGGGGTGTCAGCTGGGTTTTTGGGTGACTTGCAGCAGTCCAGGTGTGTCAAGAACACTACAGACCCTGAAGATGAAGGTTTGTTTTCCCAAGGGTATGAAGGTGTGGCCTCTCCTGCATGGTCAGTAAACTTGTATAAATCTCCTCACCCAAACTCTGCTGGGAGCCAGAAACCAAAGGTTGCCTGGCCAAGCTGCTGCACCAGCCAGGTTCTCACCTCTCTCTGGCCTGGTTGGGCTCAGAATAATGAGAAATGGCCAGAAAAGTGGGTCCTGCAGGGCAGAGCACCCCCAGGTGGACCTGCTGGGCTCCCTCCATTCCCATGCCAGAGGAGTGATGGCTGGGGACAGGATGCCACTGGGGGCTGAGCAGGAAGGTCCCTTTGCTGGATCCCATGCTGAAGGCATTGCCCTGGCACTGCTGAGGGACTGTGCCTTTCAGCAACACTGAGCTCTGATGGGCTGGGCAATCAAACCCTCATCCCTGCCCAGGCCATGTCCCTTTGCAGCCTCATGTGCTGATCATGGTGAAAAGTGGCCCAGGCAAGAAGAAAACAGGCAGGGCTCCCTGGGATCACAGCTGAAACATTCCCTGTTCACAGACCAAACTGAGCTGTTGTCCCCTGAGCAGGGCCTTCCTCTCCTGGGCTCCTCCTCTCATGCCCAGCTCCTTCCCTGGCTCCCTACAGCCAGCTCCTTGCCCCCAGGCACGCTGTCCCCACTCCCTCCTGGGTGCCACATCAGCAGGGGGATGCTGGCAGTGACATGGGGGCCTCCAGTGTCCCTGCCCCTCGCACGTGGCCACCAATCCAGCCCCACACAGGGTTCGTTGGGGAAGTGACTGAGACAGCAGCAGGGCTGGTTCTTTCTTTGATTCCATCTCTCCCTCCTCACTCCCAAGTGATCTGAGTGAAATGAAACACATTTGAGCATTTAGTAGTCAAATCCATAAGGGTGGGTCCCACTGTGCTTTGACCCTACGGGGCATTTTGTACATTTAATTTGATTTACACCCAAAATATTAATTTAACGTGCTAGATTTTCTCCCACACCCAAGTAATGCTGAAAATTACACAAGATCCTACAGAAATGTTTGTGCCATTACCTCGTTAGCATCATTATTTATCGAGTTTAATTACAGTGCTGAAGCTGTAGATGCAGCATTGCTCCAGTGGGAGCATGGAGAAGGACGTGGCCATACAGGGATATGTCTGTGGGCTGCCTTGCTCACGACCAGGATCCCCAAAGATCCCCAAAAATCCCATTTCATGGTGCTGCAGTGCCTCCCTGCAGTGCTGTTGGTGGGGTCATGCTGTGAGCACTCCCCTCAGGCTCCTCCAGGTTAGCAAATACCAAGGGATGGCATTTGTAGGAAAGGCGGGATGGTTTTCCCATGGGCTCTGGCCAAGCAGCACCAACCATCCACAGTCTGCATTTCCAGCTGGTGGCTCAGCACATAGGCAGCCCACTATCTCTGGAATGCTCTCCTTCATGGAGCTGGTGCCTCTGCACCCAGCTCCTCTTGCCTTGCCAGAGGCTGCAGGACTTTCTCTCCACTCTGTGTCTCCTGTGGTGCTGGGCACACCTCAGCCCTGACCACTCGTGTCAAGGCTCCAGAGCTGATGATGATATTATTATTATTATTATTGTTGTTGTTGTTGTTATTGTTACTGTTATTATTCCTGATTCAGCCATGCTTGTAACTGCACGTCTGACTTAGAGCACCCAGTGGAAGTGAAGTGTGTGCTCCAGGACCTCATTAAGTAAGAACCTCAAAGCAGGATTTGAGAAAGCCCAGATGACAGTGAAGTCGTCTCAGCAAGCTCTTGGCTTGGGAGCGCTCTGATTAATGTCATTTGCTACCTCTTTTGGCTTAAAAAACAAGGAGTCCTTAAAATAAAAGAAACCTCAAGTTGAAAGCACTGCAAAAAAAAAAAAAATCAATTAAGCCCCACATAGCTGTATTTTGTCCTGGAGCAAAATCTCAGACATAACAGAAAAATTACATAGCCTGAAAGAGAAAAAGAGAAAGGGAAGGTTTTATGTGCGGTCTGGCTGAGCTATTGCCCGAAGCCATGCTGAGGTGGCTTCCCACCTGGTACCTGTGGAAAATGTAAACTCCCCACAGGAGCAGGGGGAGCAAGTAGGTGCTGGGATGCCCTGGTGGAGGTACAGACTGCTGGAGGAGCTCTCTGACAGTGCATCACCTGATGTGGGGCTGGAGCGTCGCCCCTGGGGCTCCAGAACACTAACGGGGACATGGGCATCCAGCAGAGCTCTTTCATCTGGCCCTGATCTTTGAAGGCTGCTCCTTCCAGAGGCTCCATGTCCAGCCCCTGAAGTTAAATCTTGATCTCAGTGAAACGGACAATGGAACTCCCATCAATTCCCGTGGTCTGTGCTCTGCCCTGTGGGTGGAAAGCGCTCCCCCAGAAGGAGTGATTGCAAGGCCTCTTCCTCCTTGGCGTGGGGACACCGGGACGCAGCTCCCGGTGCTCATTCCCGCCGCTGCCCCAGCCCGGTACCGCCTCTGCCGCAGGGATGAGCCTGGGCACCGAGGCACCGAGTGCGGTTCCACGGCTTTCCGTAGAAAAGCAGATTGAGCAGGAGACGGGAGAAGGGATCCCTGAGTGCTGTTAAACACCCAAGGCCACGCCAGGCGCGGGCTCTGCTCTGCTCGCAGACTTCTTGTGGGTTTTCTTCTGTTTCTTTTGCTTCCTTCCCCAATACCCTAACCTCTTGTGTCTTTGTTTCATTTCCACTTTGGGAAGAGGGGGAAGACGACAAGAGGCAAATAAAAGAAAAAAGAAAAAAAAAAGGAGGGGGGGGGGAGAGAAAAGGCTGTGACACGTTTTGAATTTTAAATCAATGACTGAAAAAGAATAAATTTATTTTTTCTTTTCTTTTTTTCTTTCTGAACAGAAGAAAGGCTAGTCATTAAGAAAAGTAATAAGAACTTTCTCTTCCTGCTGCTGCCCCCAGGACAGCTCGGCCTCTTTCCCGGCGCCTCGGCAAATCTTCCCCTCGACAGGAATCCCGGGGGGCGAACGGGGAGCAGCCCCGGCCCCCATTCCCGGCAGGGCATCCCGGTGCGGCGGCCGAGAGAGGCAGAGAGGGGCAGCGGGTCCGGCCCGGCGGGGGCTCCTCCGGCGGGCAGGCGGCAGCGGCGGGGCTCCCTCCCTCCCCTAGCTTGGGTTTTTGGTTTGGTTTAGGTTTTTGTCGTTCTTTTTTTTCTATTTTTTTTCTTTTTTTTTTTTAATTTTCAGACGTTAAATTCTTTTGCAAACATTCATGCCTTAGGAAGGGCTGGAACAAAGCTCAGCTGCTCCAACCGGTCGGACAGGTAAGCAGACTTGTTGACACCGTTATGTTTGCAGCACGCATGCTCCTTCCCAAGTTTCCTGGTGCATTTTTCTATTCCACCTTATGAAACTTTCCTCCCCCCCCACCCCCCCCACCCTCTCCTCTCCCCTCTCCTCCCCTCCCCTTCCCCTCCCCGCGCCTCAGCGGCTCTGCCCGGTGCGTGCGGTCCCGCTCCCCCGGACGGCAGCGCAGCCCCGTCGGGGCGGCCGGGCGGGCGGCGGGGCTGAAGCGGCCGCTCCGCTCCGTGCCCAGCCGTGCCCCCTGCCCTCGCCATGCCCAGAGCCTTCCTGGTGAAGCGCCGGAGCCCGCAGCCGGCCGTGCGCAGCTGGGATGGGCTGCCCGACGAGGAGAGAGCCGACACCTACATCCCAGGTACGGCCCGGCGGCCGCCGCCCCGGCAGGCAGGGACGGAGCCAGCGGGGTCCCGGCGCTCCGCGGAGGGGGCGACTCGGGGAGGGGGATTTGCCGGGCCGGGGGAGCCCCGAGGGGGCGGGCAGCGGCTTTAGAGAGAGCTGTGCGAAACGCGGCGGAGGGGACAGGGACAGCGCTCCGGGGAAAAGTGCCCGGGCAGCGGTGCCAGCCCCGCCGGGCAGCGTGTCCCGTGTCCCACCCCGGGGATGGCGGGGCGGGGAGCGGATCTGGGGGGGAATGTGTGTGTGTGTGTGCGTGTGTGTGTGTGTCCAGGAAGGTGGGAAACCTCGTTTGCATGAGAAAGGTGGCTGGGGGAGGAGGAGGAAGGACCCAGGGCGGCGGGGTGGGGGTGATGTACTCCTGGCCTCCCCCTCTCCTCCTCCTCCTCCTCCCGCTCCTCCTGCCCTTGCCCGGGGTATAACGGGAAGGCGGCGGAGCTGGCTTGTTTGAACTTTGGGACCGTTCGTGTTTGAGTTTCCGATTGCAGCGTGAGCCGGGGATCCTCCCCCGCCGCCAGCGGCCCGCCCGCAGGTTAAACACCGGGGCCCGCCGGCTCCTGCCCTGCCCTGCCCGCGGTCCCCCCGCTTTATCGCATCCCCACCCCTCTGCAGGCGGCATCGGCTGCGTGCTGCTGGGCTATGAGGACAGCTGCAGCCTGGAGAGCAGCGGCAGCAGCAGCGGGACCCGGGACGCCGAGCCCAGCGACCCCCCGACGCCCCAGGCTGCCCCCGGCGAGCTGGGCACGGGCGGGGCCGTGCTGCTGGACCTGGCCGGCAAGCGGCCCGTGGTCAGGTCAAAAATCAAGGTAATACCCACACCCCAGCCACCTCTCCTCTGGCAATGAATGGGGTGACCCCTGTTCAAGGTCAAGGCCTGGCTGCTGCCCGGGGACACCAGGTGACAGCAGCAGTCCCCCGGGCTCTCTGTGCTGCTGGTGACAGCACCTGTCCCGCACACCGAGGTGGAGGCCAGCCCGCTGTAGGGCGGCAGCGGCAGGGAAAGCCTCGTAAGCGATGTGCCACAATTTTCCAGTGCCCTTTGCCTTCTCTTATCCTTGCCTGGGATGTGCTGCCCCTGACCTGCTTGGCTCGGGTCCCACGGGAGCTCTGAACCCAGGCAGGAAGGAGCAGCCCTGGCAGCAAGGAGTCGTGCCCCACGGTGCGTGGGTGGATCGTGTTCCTTAGCGTGGGGCCTCCTTAAAAGCTGCCTGCTAGGCTGTGCTCAAGCCTTCAGCAAGGAGCGCTGGGGTGACCCTTCACGCTGCCCCCCTCCCACCATCACCTATCCAGAAAGCAGCTAAAGGTTCTCCTCCATGGCTGTGAAGGCCCATTGCCACCTTGCGGGCTTGGGTGAAATGGAGCAATCATCTGTCCACTGATTTTGCTGAGGGGCAGGAGCTCTGGCTGCTCCCTGGGCAGAGCCAGCAGAGCAGCGCAGTGATTTCCCTCCCTCCCAAGGCTGGGAGAAGGCAAATGGTGCCCCAGGTCCTCGTGGTACCTGAGAATTCGACAGCGAGCGAGCTCCCGATCTCTCCGTGAGCATCCAGGGTCCCCCAGCAGAGGCAGAGCCAGGCCACCCCAGCGCTAGGCAGGAGCAGATGTGTTTACCACTGCTAGTTAACACCTCGTTAAACCCTGGCTGCTGCTGTGCGGGATGGAGCTGTAGAGATTGCCATTGTCTGTGCCGGGCTGACAGCTTTTCAGTCGCCGTGTGCTGAAGTCCCATGATTAGGTTTCACCCCGATTATACGCAGCTGCTTGAGGTGGAGTCATAGCCCTGTTGCCCAACAGATTCTTCCCAGATGGCTCCCCCTCCAGTTTCACACCTCGTGGTTTCACAGCTGCCGGGTTTGTTTTAAACTTTCTTTACAATTTCGAGTAGCCTTGCTTCAGTAGTAAGCAGAGGAGGAGGACCGGGAAAAATAACTGGCTCTTCAGGAAAAATAAACCCCAGACGTATTCCTGTCCCTGTGAAATGCCCGCCCTGCTGCTGTTTGACTTTAACCCACTTTGTATAATTTAACCTGGGCTGTTTGGGACTGTCACAGCAAAACCTTTCAGCACAGCTGGACTTTTCAGCCGATGGATGTGGTCCTGTCTGCTCTGCTGGCTTTCCCTCATCCCTGGCATCTAACAGGGGGCATGTCCGTGTGTTCCACCAGGATTAATTTAACCAGCAGCACAGTATCTACATTTTCCAGGCATTCCAGATCTTCCCAGGAGCTGAATCATCAGTGTCTTCTTTAGTCAAGTTATGTCATGGTGTTGGCACAATGCTTTTGGTGCCAGGAGTGGGAATGAGATTACCCCCTAATGTCACTTTGCTGTTAATTAACGAGGCTGAGACACCAACGGGGGCGAGATTAGGGCAATTGTTTCAGTCTTTGCTGAGTCAGCACAACGTGCCTTGGGTTTATCTCTCCAAAACCACCTTTTTTATCACTGCTGGCTGGTTTTTGAGGGATCTGGAGCAGTTGGAGGTGTGACTAGTGAAGGCAGCACATAAAACAGCTCTCTGGCACCAGAGAGGACTTCCCTTCTCCATCCTGGGTATCAGCTGAGTGCAGGAGCAAGAAAGGTGCTCAAAGCCTGAGCCCTTGTGTTCACAGATGCAGCCAGATAAGGGTTGCTACCCCTGGAAGGAAATCACTGCACAGAATTTGTTTTAACCCCTGAATCCAAGCTGGCCAGAGTTGCCTCAGTCCCAAACTGTGCACATGAAGTCCTCCACTTGATCGCAAAGAGATTGTGAAGGTTTCACCCAGCGGGAAAATCCTGAATGCTTTCACTTTTAATTTTTATTATATCCCCCCCCTTTTTTTTTTTTTAATTTTTAATGCCACAATAAGCCCTGCTTGTTTTGCTTTATTCCTCCTGCTGGCTCCTCCCAATGCTCACACAGTCCTCTCCCACTCCCCAGTTCACCACGGGCACCTGCACCGATGCTGCCCTGCATAGCTGCGAGCTGTGTGGCAAAGGCTTCCGCCTGCAGAGGATGCTCAACCGGCACATCAAGTGCCATAGCCAGGTGAAGAGACACTTGTGCACCTTCTGTGGAAAAGGCTTCAACGACACCTTTGATCTGAAGAGGCATGTCCGGACCCATACTGGTGAGAATGCGACCCCTGGGACCGGCGGGAGGCCATGGGAGAAGGGGTGGGATGGGACAAGGGCAGGGAGAGGGTGAGGGTAACCTGGTGAGATCATAACACGAAGACCTGGTTAACAACATTTGCCAGAAATAGTGGGGTTGCAGTGGAGAAAAGGGGAAGACAGAGTGTGTGTGGTGTGGAAAGAGAAAAGTCCTGGGAATGATGAAATCTGAGGAGGATTATTGCAATCCCTGTGAAGCAGTGAGGGTGCAGGACCCTCCGTCCACACCTGGTGTAGACACAGCCCCGTGCTGCTGTGCCTGGGGCAGCAAGGCTGGGATAACCCCCCCAGGATAGCCTGCCTGGGATAACCCCCCCAATAACCTGCTTGGGATAACCTCCTTGGATAACCTGCCTGGGATAACTCCCCCAGTAACTTGCCTGGGATAACCCCCCCTGGATAGCCTGCCTGGCATAACCCCCAGGATAACCTGCCTGGGATAACCCCCAATAGCCTGCCTGGGATAACCCCCCCTGGATAGCCTGCCTGGCATAACCCCAGGATAACCTGCCTGGGATAACCCCCAATAGCCTGCCTGGGATAACCCCCCCTGGATAGCCTGCCTGGCATAACCCCCCTGGATAGCCTGCCTGGGATAACCCCCCCAGGATAACCTGCCTGGGATAACCCCCCCCAGGATAACCCCCCCCCCCCAGGATAACCTGCCTGGGATAACCCCTCCAATAACCTGTCTGGGATAACCTCCCCTGGATAACCACCCAGGATAACGTGCCTGGGATAACCCCCCTGGATAACCTTCCCAATAACCTGCCTGGGATAACCACCCCGGGACAGCAAATCACTGCAGTTATCCGTGCAGGAGCTCGATGAAAACGCTTTGCCCTCTAGAGGCAGCGAGCAGCACTTTCCTGGGGATTTTGCTGTTGGGAGCCTTCCCAGCTGATTGCTGTGCAGGATGGTTTTTGAGGGACCTGGAGCAGCTGGAGGTGTGACTAGTGAAGGCAGCACATAAAACAGCTCTCTGGCACCAGAGAGGACTTCCCTTCTCCACCCAGGGTGTCAGCTGAGTGCAGGAGCAAGAAAGGTGCTCAAAGCCTGAGCCCTTGTGTTCACAGATGCAGCCAGATAAGGGTTGCTACCCCTGGAAGGAAACCACTACACAGAATTTGTTTTAACCCCTGAATCCAAGCTGGCCAGAGATGCCTCAGCCCCAAAGTGTGCACATGATGTCCTCCACTTGATCGCAAAGAGATTGTGAAGGTTTCACCCACCAGGAAAATCTTGAATGCTTTCATTCTTGAATGCTTTCATTCTTGAATGCTTTCATCCCATCAGGATGGGATTCTGGCTTGATTTTGGAAATGTCTGGAGGAGCCAGAGTGTGGTTCATGCTGTGCCTCCCCCAGGCTGCAGGATGTGCTGTCTGTGGCCACACTGCTGTGGGGTCAGTTCCTGAGTTCATCCCAAATCTCAGTGGTTGTGTTTCTGTTGCCCCAAATCCAGTTCAGTTTTCCCAGAACTTCTTACCCCAGCCTGGAGCAGGGACAAGGCTGCCAGTTTGACTGGCTTTATTTTTTTTTTCCTTGGTGGAAGCAATGGCTTAAATAAACATCAATCCCATCCTCTCCAAGGGCAATGCTTCCTGGTTGGCCAGGCTGGCTGTGCTCAGCAGGCTTTGACTTTGCACTGTTGGGCACCCAGGAGGTGCATCCACCACATCTCACAGGCACATCCCATCTTCCCAGCTGTATGGTCACCCAGTGGGAGCTGGAGATTATTTGGGCTTGCTCTGCAGAGCCCCATTAACCAGGTGAACTGCTAGAAGTGACACAAGGATGTTGGTAGGCAGGAGCTGTTTCTTAGTAGTAGAGCCCCCAAGACCAATGGCACCTGTGTTGGATGGGAAGGCATTGCCTGGAGCCAATGTTTTGGGCTGTTTGGGTTTGTTTGCAAAGCTTTCATGTGGGAAGGAAAGCTGCCACTGGGGTATGGCTGGAGTGTGGAGTCAGTGCTTCCAAAAGAAGTGATTTTTCAAGCTGTCCCCTCATCAGAGAGTCAAAAAATAAACCCAAGAGGGTCTCTGGTCAGAATAATTTAAAATGATTGCTAAATGATTTTAAATGGTTCCTAAGCGATGAAGAGGTTCCCACAGTCCTAATGGGCTGTGCCATCCTGGCACTGCCCTTTCTGTGCTTGTGTTCCTGCCTGTGGAGTGCTGGAGAAGGCACCAAGGATGGTGGAGGTTCAAATTGCCTTAAAATGAGCACAAAACTGCTTTTTGTGTGTGAATTCTAATGAAGGTTTGGGCTTTCTCTCCAACTGCAGTTTAATGAAATGAAGCAATTTCACATCAGCAGGCATTAGGAAACTTCTGTCTTGATAGTTTAATCTGATGCACTGGGATAACCTCTTTTAGCTAAACAAAAATGCAGTTGACATGCTGCTTATTGGAACTTCTAATTAGCTAGGATTTCTGGTGGATAGATCAGGTCCTGACTGGTAACTTAATGCAATCACAAAGTTACAACTGTCTGAGCAATCTGGTTTACCCATTTCTGCCTGGCTCACCATAGGATCTTCCAGACCCTGGCATTCCACCTTCCCTGGGGAAAAGAGGGGTTTAGGTGACTCCTTTTATCAGTTTTAAGGGTGGTCTTTGCTTGCAAACTTACTGATCTAGTCTAGTAAGCAGAATTCCTGCTGGTTTAGGTTCTTTCAAGTGTTGCTAAATCCTCAGCTCTTTAAGCACTGGGGGAGTTGTTGTTAAATCAGTGTTGGTTGGTGGTAAAATTGATTTTTGTGGTGTTGGTTGTCTTTCAAATCACAAGCCAGTTTCTTCTCCCTCCTCTGGAAACACACAGAGTTATTATTTCTTTCATCTTGCTGCACTTCTCTAGAATTTGTAATCTCAGTCATCAAAACTGTATGGTATGAAAGTACTTGGGATTGCTGCTGTTCACTGAAGCCTCGTTAATCCAAAAGAGAAAAATTAAAATCTTACCAAGACAGAAGTTTTCATTCATTATAAAAGCTGAAACAGATAGTTTTACCTAATCACAGGATTTCAAACAGGATAAAAATAAAAAGTTTTAAATATATATATATATATATATATATAATATATATAAAATAAAATAAGTTTTGCAGGAGTTGATGGTTGCTGCCTTAGGACCAAACCACTGATGGGCATCTATTATCCTCAGCATCTGCTGGGGATAACATTCCTAGCTTTTCTATGCCTAAATATATAAAACCCATAGCCTGAAAGGATGATGTTTTGTTTAGAGAGGCAGCTCCTTGGGCTGCTGGATATCTCAGCAGCTGATGTGCCAGGGCCTTGCTCTTGGCTGGCTGTAGGAAACAAGACACAGGTGATACAACAGGTGACACAACCTATTGCATTTGCAAGGACCCTTGTTGGCAGGGAGGAATGATGTGTCTGACTCCATGTTCTCAGAAGGCTAAATATATAATATAATATGATATAATATGATATAATATGATATAATATGATATAATATAATATAATATATAATAATGTAGTATAGTATATAATAGTATAGTATAGAAGAGTATATAACATAATATAAAAGTATATAATAGTATATTATATTATAGTATATAATATCATAGTATATAATATAATAGTATACAATATTACATAATGTTATTGTATATTATAGTTTATTACATTATATTATCATACCATATCATATTATATTATACTATATTACATTACATTACATTATACAGAAAGGATATTTACTGAATGTTAAAGATAATAATGAAAACTCGTGACTCTTTCCAAAATCCTGACATATCTTGGCCCTGATTGGCCAATGAGTGAAAACAACTCACACCAGAATCCAATGAAACAATCACCTGTGGGTAAACAATCTACATGTGAGCACAAGGCAAGAAAAGCAAATGAGACAATCATTGTTCTCCTTTTTCTCTGAGGCTTCTCAGCTTCCTAGGAGGAAAATCCCGAGCGAAGGGGGTTTTTCGGGAATGCCACAGTAACCTCTGTCTTTCCCTGCCACAGGCATTCGTCCCTACAAGTGCGAGGTTTGCAACAAGGCCTTCACGCAGCGCTGCTCGCTGGAGTCTCACCTGAGGAAGATCCACGGCGTGCAGCAGCACTACGCCTACAAGCAGAGGAGGGACAAGCTCTACGTGTGCGAGGACTGCGGCTACACGGGCCCCACGCAGGAGGAGCTGTACCTGCACGTCAGCGGCGTCCACCCCGGCAGCGCCTTCCTGAAGAAAACCTCCAAAAAACTCGCAGCTGTTCTGCAAACCAAACTCAGCCCCGTGCTGCAGAGGAACTCCAAAGAGGAGGGCAAGGACGAGTGACGCTCGCTGATGCTCGGCAGGAATGAAGTTTGAAGTTTACATGCAGGACTACGGATCTTATTTTTTTAAGAACTATTTTGAAAGGAACGCCTGAAATTAAAGGGATGCTTTTGTTAACGGGACTCTTGATGTTGGTAAAACCTCAGTTTGACAGAAATATTCCCATTCAGACTTTTTTTTTTTTTTTTTTTTTTTTTTAATCTGGCCAATAAAAACGGAATGCTTGCAAAGGCTGTCGCCTCTCGGATGGAGTATTTACTGAACTGACATTTGGGCAACCTGTTTTTTGTCAGGTCTGAACACCCCTGACAAATGAGTTCACCTTTCCCCAGGTGTATTTGTATTTTGTAAGGTGAATAACTGCTACCTCCCATGCAAATTACTTATGAGAGGTTTGGGTGAAAAGTGTTGGGTAAGAGTGCTGCTGGTACGGGGTTCTATGCAATTGAATTAATTGAAGTGCCTTAAGAACAGGAGTGTGTTGTATCATCCAGTGAGTTACAAAGTGCAAATACCCTCAGCTCTGTGCCCTGTGCAGCCTGCTAACAATTGATGGAAGTGTGATCCAAGGTGAGTTGAAACTCTTCCCAAAGGGTGCAGAATGTTTTCTTCTCAAAATTTCTCCACTATTATTCTAGGGCAGACTTTTGGTTGTGTCTTAAGTACTTGAAGCCATGAACTTACTTTTATCATGTTGATATACAAGTGAAATCTTAGCTCTGGTGTTCCTGGACTTGCTGGGCTCACTTGGAGGATTATTACCACATCTCTTTAACATACACCAACAGCAACCCAGAAACCCAAAGAAAGCACTGTAATGACTTGAAATTAAGTATTTTCTGTCATGATGAAATGCAATTTTGTGCATATTTTATGGTGTGTGTGCTTGTTTTTTTTTGTTTTGTTTTTTATATTCAAGTGCCTGTTCATTAATACAACAATGCAGTGGGAAGGGGGACTGAGCCTGTGTCTGCTTTGGGAGATCTGTGCAAAACTGCAGGCACCAATCTGGCTGCTCCTCTGTGACCACTCTGACTGTAGAAGGCTCCTCCCACCTAAGTCAGGCTTAGCCAGGCCTTTCACAGTCATTGCTGCTAAAACAAGACATTTTGAGCAACTTTGCAAGAATTGTGAAAAAAATCTTTTCAACTTGCTTCAGGTTTTGTACAGGCACCCCCTTGGGTTTTTGTGGGGAAAAGATTCTAGGGGGTCTTAAAGCATTCCTAAGGATGTTAATGCTTAGTTCAGCACAACTGTTGGTGCTTGAGACCTTTTAAATGAGGATAATAAAGTGATGCTACTGTCTTAAGAACACACTTATCCAATGTAGTAGGGAAGTTTGTAGAATACTTTAATAAATGGGAAGTTGCTGGGAAAAAAAACCCAAAAACATCTGAGGTAAATTAGAAGATCCTGACTTTGCAGAAAGCTAAAGCTCTTACACTGACCCCCAGGTCTTGTAACTGAGCAGTGTAAAGGGAAGGTTGCTCACTCTGCAGTGGGATTCATATTCACCTGACTGCATGGGATTTGTGTGCTCAGCTCTGCTGAACCCTCAGCCCTTCTCCGGCACAGCAGAGCTGGGGCTGAACCCTTCCTCTCCAGCCAGAGCCATGGTTTGGGTGTAAACCTGTGTGCATGGGTTGTTTTTTTTTTATCCCTCCTGCACCACGTGTTGCTTTGGCTCTCCCTCCAGTGTCAGTGCCACAGCACATCCCTGCTGAGAGAACCACAGGCACAGAAAGGATTCACAACAAAAGAGAAAGGGAGCAGGCAGCAGGCTGCCACAGGGAAAAAGCCATCCTGTATGGAGAGTGAAGCTCTGGCTGTCAGAGCTGGAGTAGCTGCCCTGGCTGCCCAGCAAGTTTTTCTGCAAGAGGACAGACAGTGCCTGTAGCAGTGCCCTGGGTGCATCACTTCAACAGTCTGGCAGCTTCATTGAAACTGCTCACAAAGTGTCTCTGGCTGTGTGTGACACTGGTGACAGGCACCTGCCAGTCCTGTTACAGGACAAGCCAGCTTGTGCTGCCCCAGCACTGCTCCACAGCTCAGCCAGGGGTGCCCAAGGCAGCAGCCAGGCTGTCAGAAGGGCCAGACACAGTGACTCCCAGCACTGCTGTCTTTTGAAGGCTGTCTGCCTCCTCCTGGCTCCATGAGGTACAGACTCAGCTGGGACTGAGTTTGCAAACTGCCTTTGCTGGCAGCCTTCCTCAGGCAAGGGGTTCTGGCTGATTTTCTTGAAGCTCAGGGGTTGGTCATAATTCTATTTGTAAGCTGCAGTGTTATTGTGAAAACTCACACATACAATTCATAGAAGACAAAGAGAATGAGGAAAGAAATTTTCCAGAACAATACTGCCTGACATGATCAAGGCTTATTCTCTGCTTTATAGACTTGATTTTATGTGCTTCAAAAGTAAAAATTCTGTTTCAAAACATTTATTCACAAACTTACTTGGAAAAAAAAAACCCCAAACCAAAAAACACAGAGAAACCCATAAAAAACAGCCCCCAGAACCCAACCAGCAGCTCCTCACCCCTCAGAAGGCTCTGCTTCACAGCCACAGGCCTGCTTTGATCCAGAAATTCACTCATGTGGCACTGGGGATGGTTCCACAGGGTGGGCTCCTCTGGCCCACAGCAGAGTCAGGAGAGCTCGAGGCAGTGGCAGCACGGAGCTCCCAAGCCAAGGCACACAGCCCATCTCACAGTGCTTTTCTGTGGGCTGGGTGTAAAACACCTGCAGGAGGAGCCACCAGCAGCAGCCAACATTCCCACCTCTCAGAACACTCGCTGGAAATTTCTGGGAGTGTTGGCTCCAATTCTGCTCCTCTCTTGCTGAGCCACTTCTGCTAAGTGGCCACTTTGCTGTACTATTCTAAATAAGAACTAATGAAGACTTTCCTTGTAACTCTCAGCTCAGGTTTTCCAGTTGTAGCTGTAAGAAAAACCACAAATAATAACAAGCCTGATGATGGTATGAGCAAGAACTGACTGAAACCCAGTCCACTATATCACTTTCTTAATCATTTGCATTTCTCTCAGCTCATACATCACAGATATTGTTTTGCTTTAGTTCACCAACTTCATTTTTAAAGACTCTCAGTTCTGCAACTTTCATTTGTGATTTTTGAGGAAAAGAAAAAAAGATTATTTGATCAAGCAGTTTTACTTGATAGTAGAAACTTTTCTATCAACCCCAGGCTGTGTAAACTGTGTGGGATAAAAAAGAGAGGCCAAATAAGTTTGCTTTTTTCTGCCTGGACCACTGAGGTCACCTACAATATAAGGAAATAAATATTCCCCATTTGAAAGTTACTTTTTGGGAGGGGAGAGAAGGGAACCTAGCTAGTAAGAAATTAGCCAAAGTTACTCAAAAAAGAACACAAAAGTTGTACATTTAAAGAAAAGGTTCTTCCTTTGTCTCTTGCTTGTGCTCATTCTGGGTCAGTTTTTGTCCATGTACTCCTCCAGGCGCAAGAGCCACTTGTCCCAGTACTGAGAGCACAGGTCAGGATCCATGAAATGTGGATGTGCCGGGGAGCCGTCCTTGTAGGCAACCACCACGAGCCCACAGCGAACCTGCAGCACAAACAGGGGCTGTCACAAACCCCACGGCTCTGTGCAAGCCCAGGAGCTAAACCTCACTGCCAAACAGCTTCCCAACATGCACATCTCACATCAGGAATGGGGAATAAAAAGGGGCCAGAGCTCACCTTCACAGAGAGACTTAACATTCCAATGCTCCAAAAAACCCCGAGCCCAAAGCTCTGGGTAACTTCAGTGAAAACCAGGGGATGAACTCTGAGGATGAGTGATATTTAAACCCTGCAGATGCCAGGAAAATTGCCAGAGACTGAGGAGTTTTTGTAAACCAGGGGATGAACTCTGAGGATGAGTGATATTTAAACCCTGCAGATGCCAGGAAAATTGCCAGAGACTGAGGAGTTTTTGCCTGAGGCCATACAACCAGGCTGATGCCACCCTCCAGCTTCAGTCTGGGTAGAAATGGTTACTTAGGTATGTTCTGACATCTTTCATACCTGGCCAAATCCCAAATCCCAAACAGCCACTGGCAGTGGGGGGCAGGAAGCTACTAGCAGAATTCCAGCCCATATTTCACTCTGTCAGGATCATGTCTGTGGAGTGCTTGTGCTCACTGACCTCTACAGTATTCTAGAAAGTCCTTTGCACAACATACAAACTACCCTGCTCTCTTCTGCTTCGTATTTTCACCCTTTAATATCTGTACTGAGGTAAAAATCCTTCAGGCCAAGGAGGCAGGCTAGAATTGCTTTTGGGGCCTTTAAAAGCATTATTCCACAGTCTTCTGATGAAGAGATTCCCAACACACTGCTTTTCCCTGAGGAAACACAGTACAGCTCCCAGACACCAAGTGCATCACTCAGTCCCTCATTTGCTACTGGGACACAGCAAGACAGGATGCAGGCAAGACCCTCCCACACCATTTTCTTGTTTGCAGGTTCTTTTGCTTTATTTCCTCTCCTGCCCCTTCCTACTCTTGACACAAGCAAAAACCACACAGGACAGAGCCCAGGGGGTTGCCCACATGCCAAGTACCTGGGAGTTCATCTGAGCATCCCCTGGTCCCACTGAGCAATTCCTTAAAACCACTGAAAATTCACTACTGGCAGCCAAGGGCAGCAGGATCAGCGGAAGCAGTGGAATTATTTCACAGTATGACACCTTAACCTCAGTTGATCTCAGACTGGGCTCCTTTGTTACAAATCCTACCAACACTTCCACAATGGGCAGAAGGTGCTAAAGGCAGGAAGAAATGAGGATCACACAGGCATTGCTGCTTGTCTTGGCATGCAGCAGGCCTACTGACCTGGAAGTCATAATTGGCATCATGATTTATGGCTCCAATATATGCTGCAACCTGCAATGGGTTGTCATAAGTATTCTGCAGAGATGGCTTTGGCTTCTCTGAAGTTTTCCAGTCGATCACACACAGCTGGCCCCTGCACAGGAGAACAA